CAGCTCCACTGTCTTGACCTGAACCTCAGATCAAGGCAAGCCCAATTCGGACATGGACTTTGGACAAATGCACTGCAACCAGGATGCTAGCGTAGTAAACTAGAGCTATTTGATACTTGTCCACGGCTTTCCATATTCTAAAGCTTACGCAAGCTTCTGGTGAAGCTCGGAATTCTACCTCAAGTAATGTGCACAGCTCAGCAACCAACTGATGCAACATCCAAAGCCGGACACTTCGCAAGAACCTGAAGGGCCCGTACCGTTGACTTCTCAGCGGTGGCACATCGCGTGGAAGCCTTCGGCAACCAGCACAGGGGATCAATTACACCAAACCCGATAGCCAATTCAGACCTAGCTGCGAGAGGCAGAGACTTGACAACAAGGCAATGGGAGCAGCTCAAGCCAAGACATTGCCCCGTCTGGCAACGCATCCCCACATTGGCGCAAACGCGCCGGGCCCACAAAAGCAGCTTTTCTTGTCAGGATTGTACATGGTTCAATCCTAGGTTATTGGCCTCTCCATTATGTGCAAGGGGCGTGCGCTGCCTGCTTGCGTATTTGGGATGTCTCCAAATAAGGCGTATACAATCCTCAAGAGGGAACCCAGTAATCCCTTCGCATCCCGAAAACCCTATGTATCCCTAGATTTGTTGGGGTACCCCTAAATATTTATGTATATATACATATACACAATACGTATGAACCCGGAAAGTCCTATGATGCCCTATCATAGTCACCGCCTGCCTCGCTGGCCACCACGGGATCCGGGCTGAACAGTATGGAGGACGACTCAGGGCTACCTGAGTGTCCCGAAGCTAGAACAGAATCGGAATCAAAACAGTCGGCAAGGTGTAGTGGAATGGTAATCATACAGATTGCTTTAGAGTCAGTAAGATACTTACTATAATCATCACCGAGTCATCACCATCACCAGCATGGTCACCGCCTGTGTAGTGAAAATAGAACCATCAGCAATCATAAACAGACACGTGGCAAACAAATACTGATGGCAAACAGGCAAACCACAAGATGTTCGTCGCATAGTCTGCATGAGCTCACATTCTCAGCGAAATTCCTTTACAAGTGTTACAAGAACTCAAAGGGCTATGCAACCATGCGGATCTGTTGAGACCCCCTCACTCGCATCCCTATATCCCACACATATACCCTCTCATACTATAGTAGTTTCCATTTCCTTTTCCATCATCTCTATATATTCCCTTTAATATAATCCCAATATACCCCATATAACCCATTTTAATAGTTTCCCATTTTCGTTTCCATTATCCCTATATAATCGCTATATCACCCTATACCATAGCAGTTTCCATTTTCTTTTCCATTATCCCTATATAAACCCCAGATACCCGATCACTGCCGGGGGGCGTAGCTCCCGGCCATCGGTGGTGGTGGGACGAGGAGCCTCCCGAGGTAAAGCTAGGAAAAGGGTTTCCCAAAAATAGTGCAACCCAGCATGGACTTCAAAATACAATAATCCTTATTATGGGGACCCCCAAAATGGCACCCGTAATTTTGGGAAACCCCCATTCGGCCACCTAGAACACTAGTAGTTCAGCACGTGGACATCTGGGACACCCCAAGTCAGGCGGTCACCACACAAAATGAGGTGAATGATTTCCCCTGGCTCCGAACCCAAGACCCGAGCCAAACTCGACACAGACAGAAGAACCGAAGATAACCTAAGTAGAACCCGCAGCCCGAGACATGTCCCATGAAATGAAAAGCCAGTATGGCATGGTTTCAAGAGCGTCTGTCCATCAAACCCTTGATCCCACAGAGTCAAGATGCACCTTCTCAACCGGCGTTGGTTCGGGCGCCTCTCAGACGGGAAGCCACTTCTGTGCTTTTGCACTCATGATAGGCATCCCAGGAATCATGTGCATCAGACCTTTACGAGGACTTCTGCAGAAGTACATCGTTACCCGACAAAACCAACATGTGACCTGTGCTCTTTCTCGATGGTGGATTCTTGCAAGCTGCTCCATGCAGCCGAACTATGGCCAGCTGCAGCCAGCTATATCTCCATCAAAGCCCGGTTTCCGGCCTCCATCACATCAGTCACAGGCTCGCATATTTTTGGCGGCTCCTGGCAAGGAGCAATTTCGAGCAAGGCACCCCCGGGCTATGTGAAGAGTGGGCTCAGGGATCCTGGCGCTGTACGGGTGACATGGGTGACTCTACGGGATGATGAGCGAATCTCTGAAGGAACGCCTAGAGATGAGTCTCAGAAACTCCCCTGTGAGCACGCCATACATGCACTTTGAGTGGTGGGTGCAAGTCTGGACAACAGAGCTGGGTGATGCTGGGTGCCAAGCAACTAAGAACTCTGCATACACAAACTTCGATTCCAACCAACAACAATACATCAGTCGACCCCTAATCCTACAACCTCTCGCCCCATCCATTGACTTCAAGACTTGCTTGCGCTCTTCAACAACCTCTGGGGCCACTGCTGAGGCCAGAACAAGCTCCTGTCCCCGGCCCTCAGCTGCAAATGGCTTGATGGATGCGGCGTGGACAGCCGTGGGCAAATTTCTGCTTGCATCACTGGATAGGGGGGATTCTAGGAGGTGCGAGCAAGGTTGCATGTGCTCACCATCTGCACACTGATCTTCTGTGCATCCTATCAGATACATTTTTGAATGACCCTGTGCAAGTCCTTAGGCCTTGAGATTACCACACAGGTGCCCTCCAAACAGTCTAGTTGGCCACCCAAAGCAAAAGCCCCTGCAGTGAGCACAGCGCTGTAGAGCTGGACGGTAGGCGCGTGCGCCGCTCCTCACAAGGAAGGGCTGGGTGGTCCCATGTTTTCAATAGGGTCTAGGGTTAGGCGCGTTTGTATATGTGGGTTTTCACAAGCTCTGGAGCCCCCATATTTGATCCCAATATACCGCAATTGTACTTATGCATACCCCGAAATAGGCCCCCTGTATGTCTTCTAGGTCGTCATGAATCTTGCAAATCCCTGTGTTGGGTGCCGCTTTGCACAACCCAGGGCCCCATCTGAACAACGCGGACTACATTCGACTTGTTGCATGACAATGACTGCTGAGCCTGTGATGTTTATGATTTGTATTATTGATGTCTTGATTCCTATTATTACTGCTACTATTTCTTGCTTCACTACTAAGACTATTATTGCTGTGTTTTAGCTGCGCAAGGTGACATGTGCAGCCCACCAAATGTGTGCGGAGAGAGGGTCCCAGCAGGCTAGGACCTACTGGAGGAAAGTTTGCACCACCATGTATACCCCGTTGCCCAGGACATCACAATGATTGGTATCCGCAGCAACTCCAGATTTCATTCATGAACCATACTTTCGGCACACATAGCTTTACACCTTGCTCGCACTGCAATTTGAGATGTCCGCACCTTTTTCAAACACGGTCGGCATAGCGACTCGGGTTCTTAACAGGCATGTTAAACCATGCCATCGAGAAGCCAACCCTGTCGTGGGGAAGCTGACCGTGGAACAGAGTCCACCACTGCTGCTTTCCCTTTTCCAAAGCCAGGGTTTTGCGAGGGTCTTGTCAGTCTAGTTCTAGTCTGGTCACTAGTTGTGACTTTGAGATCAGCAGTGGCCTCTGTGGCCTGCTTCACCGCTTAGCTTCCCACGGTGCTACTGCTGATGAGATGCATCCTGCATTCCTAGGCCGCGCGCCTCAACTGCATCAACCTCAATATGTAGGATGTGACAGGCAAAGGCTTAGAGGCAAAGTGATCCAGGCGCAGATCATCAGAAGTATCATAGTGCACGGCTGCCAGCATGACATGCACAGTGCCCAGAAGAATTGTGCACGACCTTCGGCTTAATGTTGTAGACCAGGCTTACAACCCAACACATCCGGGAGGCCCAGAACCTTGGTTGGGGATTTCTTAGCACAAGGTATTCCTGTGACGCCCACTTCTTTTAACCCATCATCTTGGCATACTGTTCCAAGCACCGGGAACATCTTGCAGTCTTCTGCAATTCGAAGATTATTTCCTGCGTAGAACGGCGCGCGAGAATCCAAGAGAGCCCTTGAGCCGCAGTTGCCAAGACTGCGAGACGCAGAAGCACAACCGTCACTCGCGCACCGCTGAGGCATCCAAAACAGTTGCCGTGAAGCACGATGTGCGTGCTGACGGGCAATAAGTCCTAGTTTCTACATCCATTTAGCATGGGCAGCCGCCTGGGCCGACAATTTAGGGGCTACGCCTCTATACACCTTAGAACCTCACCCAGTCTCCATTTCATTTTGCATGTTCTTCTCCATTTGATTATCCGTTCTCGGGGAAATATCCCTAAGCCTTACACGTTTCCATTCTCTGTTCCATCATCCCTATATACATAAATATATTCCCAAATATAATACTTCGCTGGCTCCCCCTCCTCTTCCAACCTTCTTGCGTCAGCCTGCCAGGGGGCTGCCATTGATCCAGGGGCCCTGCAGTTTCCTGGGGCTCCAACAATAAGGTATAGGGGTAGAATGGGGTGTAGTAGGATAAAATGGGGTATAATGGGATATAATAGGATGTGATAGGGAAATCCTCACAGGGACCCTGATGATGTTAACAGCCGTGGTCGCAACGGTCTGTACCAGGTCACCGTACTCAACGGCTCCTGCCATGCGGGGGCTAGGCACAAACCCCTACCATGAAAGCTTCCAAAAGCGGAGGACCCTTTCATGGGACTGGTTGACTTATGTTGGAGGTGTTAGCCCGCTCATTCTTCGAAACTCCAAATGTGAATCTCAAGCTAGGACTGACAGGTGAGTGCAAACTCCTTCCCCACACGCTCCCGCTGTGCTTCCGGCTGAATATTGCAAACCACTACTGTGATCTATGATGCTAGTACTTTAGCAAGAATAGAACACTTCAGGATATCACCTGGTCAAAACTCACGATCTGTTCCACCTAGCTGTGCCGCAAACCCTTTCAGCCCTGGGACCCTAGACTTGTGCATCTTGATCCAATAATCATCTTCTCCCAAACGCACCTCAGCCGTGTCGCCGCCGGCCTTTGCCGCCGGTTGGTCGAGGTGGTCGGCGCCTGAGGCAAATTCTTCGGCCACTGAACCATGCTTTTGACTTTTTTTGGAGGTGTCCATTCCTAAGCTGAATTCTTCTGATTTGAAATTGCACTGATGAAGAAGCTCCCTTTGAGCGGTGGCGTTTATTCTATTAAACGGTTTCGGTGCCAAAAAGCCTTTCGCCAAACCCTTCCCATTGAGCTGTGGCGTTTATTCTATGAAAAGGTTACGGTGCAAAAAAAAACTTTTCGCCAAACCCTTCCGCGAACCCTTCCTTGTTCTTCCGCAGCCCGGAACATCCTAAAGTGCTTGACATCCTGCATTTGGTGCTTCTGCGAACCTGCCGTCTCTGCGAAGTATCTTTTGCCAAAAAGAAGACTAGAAACATACACACATATTCAAATATAACTTCGACATCGAAGAAGACCACTCGTGACCTCATCGGTGTAGATAATGATGACGATCATGAGCTCATCGTCAAGCCAGCCCCCTTTGCGCCACCTTCCGCGAAGCCATCCTCTTTCACGAACCTTCCGCGTCCTTCCACAGCCACAGTCCGGCGCGCATTCTTGAGATTGATCTCAAGTTTTGTGTTGCAAACTAACCGAAGACTAGGGGGAACGCTGCTCAATTCAGTATCAAAACTCAAGCAGCTTGATTCTAAGGTGTCATCAACGTGTGAGCACAGTGAATGGATGTGCTCCAGTTTTACTTCTTGATGGTATTTCAAATCTAAGTGGGGCCTGTATCTGGGATGCTAGGTTTCTGCGAGGATCCTGGATCTTGCATGCATGATCTAATTTTCAGTTCAAGTTGGAACTCTTACTGAACTGGTCCAACTCTCAATTTCACGTGGAATTCAAGTTGGACTAGCAAGTTAAAGAACATCATTTCACGAAGTCGACTTCGATGAGATCGTGCGCGGAAACTTGGATGCAAACCGTCGTTTAAAGTTTAAAGTTGAATTGCAAGCTTCTGGCCATTCTGGCAGGAAAGCATGAGGATGGAGGTGTTTTGGGGAGGGCTTTGGGCTTTGGATACTATGACAAGCTCCGCAAAGTCATGGCTGCAGAGAAGATCAAGGGGAGGGGGACCGTGATCTTGAGAAACCTAAAACTTTCGGAGGGTAAGTCGGGAATAAGGGAATAGATTATGTAGGGATTTTATTCTCTTATTCCCTACTTACAACCAGGAAGAAAAATGAGAAAACATCATGAGTATAATCCTACCAAGCCAGGTCTCGGTAGCAACCAAATTCAAACGCACATGGGCTGTTATGTCATGATGTTCTCAGAGAACAACAACAAGAAGAAGAGCACACCAGGCAAATTTAAAAGGTTCGGATTCTGAGGTTTCTGCCTGCGGGACTTCAGGGTTCTTGGGCGCCTGTGTCTCTGAACCGTGTGCTCAGCCCAGGCACGTGTCGCCGAAAGTCTCCCGATCGAACTCGCGGGCCTTCTCGCGGTCGATCTGCGCCGGTTGATGCGGCTGGCAAGACTTCCAGGTGGGGACATTAGGAGACCAGAATGTTATCTGAATCTTTAACAGGAATTATAAAGGAGGATTTTGGTTCTGACCCAGTTATTCACAACATTAGTGCTTTCCTACCTAGGAAGACTTGCGCTGCACCATGTGATCCTTCGGAAGGCTCTGCAGAGGGATACTCTCCGACTGAAAATTGATAGTGTCCAGGAATTGGCAGTCTGCACAAGCACACACTAACTCTAAACCCTGCCTTTTGTCTCTCAGATGTTCCTGCGCGCTCTGTGGCCTCAGCTGCTAAAGTTCAAAGCACACGCAGGAACAGGATGCCACTGCTCTCTCGGAGCCTGTGTGCTCTTTATGCACACTTAGGGTTGTGCATTGGGTTTAGTTTTTTGGCAGCCATTTTTCCACCTGCAGAAGACTTTGGGGGATGAGGGTTTAGGGCTTGGGGTTTAGGCCCTAGATGATTAAAGTGCAAGCCTTGGTCCCCGCCTCGCAGCTAATGGAGTCAAAGAAGGACCTCTGCTTGTCATAGCCTGCAGGCCACAAAGCAGCCCATTGTAGTAGTTTCCATGTTCATTTCCATTATCCCCAAATTGGGGGGTATGGTATGTGATTGTGTATTGTAGTATAGTTAGCCCTACATCCTTGAGTAGCGCCCACCCTCTTCATGGGACCAAAACATCTGCTGCTGACTTGTGGCATCGCAAGTGGCGAGGCTTGCTTTGTCAAGGAAGCATTGGGACCTCACAATGTAGAGGATAAACTGAGCCTGGCACATAACACCTGCAGGAACCAACGCAAGACAAATCACAAACGGAACACCTCCACTGACGAAGCCCCGAAACAGCCGTTCTCTAAGATCAGCAAGTACCCTGAGCTTGGATTGCCAGCCTTCCAAGGGCCGGAGGTCTACTGCCTCTCCTGGCCAGCTGTTACGATGCTAGACAGCGTGTTTACTGTTTAAGGTCCGTGCGCGGACACATACAGAGAAGCATGAGGAATGCTCGATGCACATGGCTTCAGGCAAAGTATAGACATACTTTGGGCATGCTGGCCATGGAAGGTTGCCTGAGACTGCCAGACCTTCGGATTGCGGGCACAAAGTGACTGCGACCAATGAACTGCCAAGCAGATGGATGAAGAAAGCATGTTGAAAGTCAACACAGAAATTACAGAAAGAGAAGGCATGTTACTAAAGATGTCTAAATACAATTTACGGCTGTCCAGCGATACCCTAAGGAGCTGCACATCTGCTTGAGTTCCAGCTCAAGGAGAAGGGCCTGACTCATCCTTTTCCAGCTTCTCGAAGCGCTTGTTGGCGGCGTCCAGGTCAAAATCCTTGGCACAAAAATCAAGCTCCTAAAGCGTGCTGTCCATCACGAAGCTGCAAGCTCAAGCGGCGGGATTTAACTTTTGAAGCTTTCCTGATGCTCTGCCAAAAGCTGCAACCTATTTCGCAAACTGGCGAACCCGAAGAGCCCAGGCCCCTAATGCTGCGGCTTAGATGCATTTCTTGCATTCGACTCGCAACACGGTATGAGGATGTACACTTCAAAGTGTCTCTGCACAGCAAAGGTTACACCACCAAACCTGCCAAGGCTTAACGCAGGGCCCCTACCCCAGCGCACTCGCGCTTTGTGGTAGCGTTGTCCTCTGGCAGGAGCTCGCCAACCTCAGCTATGAGCGGTTCCTGGCAGTACCCTCAAGTCACATGCCCAACTTGTCCAGGCTTTGGCTACTCCATGCCATGGTCTGTTATGTTTTTCCCGGTGCAAAGCATGCATGCAAAAGTGCCTATGGTAGTCGTGACAACTGACAAATCAGCTCCATTCGCGCTCAGCGCTTTGAATGTCAGACCTTGAGCAGTCCTGGTACAGAACACTGAACTTGTTATATTGCCAAGAAAACAAGACGCGCATTGACCAACAGGAACTAGACCGGCAAGGCGCAATCCTTGCACTGCCGTTGCGCGCAAGATTCCGTCATCACGAAGCTTGGGTAGTATCCATGGCTGTACTCCTCAATCCCAAGTGCATTTGGGTATTTCCATACCAGGGTCCTCCTTACATCCCCGAACATACTTTCCTTGTTATCCTTTTCTGGCGGGCACCTCTACTTCTTGCAAAGCCCCCCCATTTTTTCTGAGGGCTCACTTGAGCTCCAGGCCGGCGCGCCATCATGTCGGCTTCCGGCGCCACCCTGTATAGGGGTTTCTCAAAATTAGGGGTACCTTTAATGGGGATGTAGGGGTTATATAGGGGTATATAAGGATATATAGGGTTTAGGATTTGGGGACATGGAGGTTTCCCGTACCCATTTCAGGGGTCCCTACAATACAGCCTAAGGACTATTAACATTTTGGGGTCTATTGGGGTCCCCACTTTTGGGGAAACTACCGTATTGGCCCATCTCGCGTGCAGGAGTTTTGCAACATGGGGTTACTCTCAGGAATAGCATGAACAAAAACGGACTGCGAAATGATTGTTTGGATTTCATGTGGGATGTGTTGAGAAACCTAAACCCTGAACCCTAAACCCTAAACCACATGTAAGCAGTTTCTGGATGCAAGGCGGGGAGTAAGGAACACCTTGTACAGTTCAGCAAGTCTCACATGAGCCATAGTCTAAACTCCTAGCATCCGCCTTAAAAACCCCTACAGTAGTACCCTATGTAAAAGCACACCTTGAAGGAGTTTAGGCCATAGCTCATATAGGCTGCCTCATGCCGCAGTGAATCCTAAGCGCAGTCTCCGGCCTTTCCGCCCTTGGCGCCATATCCTGCAACATCCGGGGTCAGTGGATTCTAGTGGTGCTTCTCAAGGATCATAGATTCTGAATACATACCCCAGTTTAATACAGCAGCTTCCATTTTCTTTTTCCATGATCCCTATCTGCACAGTTCCTATTACTAATCTATTCCTATTATTTTGTATTCGTGTTATTGTCTAGCGCTACTACAATTAATATTTGTCTGGGAAGCTCCGAGATGCAATCCCGTGTGAGTAGCGTTTTTTGGTGGTTGAACCTAGTAAGATTATATTCCTCATATAAAATACTACGCCCCAAAAGGGAGGATAGAAACTTGCTCTATAATGGGTACCATAGTCTCCCCAAATGAAATACTACTCATGTGCACAAGGCAGTATGGCACAAGCGCCAAAGGAACATCAGTGCAGGACCCAAAGCGCTTTCTGCTGGATAAACTCCCGGGTTGTCGTGCAATCCCAAAACCTTGACTGGGTTGCTGTTAAGGAACTTAGATTTAGTTACCATAATGGGTATACATAATAATTGATATGGTTTCCCCAATATAATACTTAAATTAAGTACCTTAACAGCAACCCAGTTGATCTATAGTAGCCTCAGCACCAAGACCCAGATACTCCCATAACAGCGCGACGTGCGTCAACACCTGAAGCCCTGGCCCTGAACTGCAAGAGCCAGGAGCCCCGCCTTTGCCTTCGCGGCTGGCCTTTCCCTGCGGGGCTCAAGTTGAGGAGGAAGTGACTCCGCCACTCTGTTCAACATGAAATCTTCAACGTGGGCTGTCTGCTTGGCCGCAGCGCTAAGATTCAATGTCGTCATCAGGTCATTGGTTCTGTCACTGGTACCCCCACTTCTGCCAAATTCAGACGGTAAGGACAAGCTTCAGCAAGCCGCTCCCCTAATCGAAGGTTCTTGATGGCGTGGTAAAGTGACAAAGGACATGTCTCAAATGAAATGCCGGGCCTTGCCACCCTTTGTTGGCCCTCTTTCTCTGTCGTACTTGCCCTTGCCCTGCCAGGACAATGCGGTTTAATTAATACTGTCTCCGAACGAACATTCGCCGCTCATAGAAAACCCTCATAACCGTCCCGTCATTGCAAAGTGCCAGTCTCATGTCTTGTTTAGTACAGTAACCCCTCCCCAACTGCAAAACCTCCAAATGAATGATTTTGTCCCGGAGTTCTTAGTCGCTAGTACCAGCAGCACGGAAGTTATAGTCCCTCTTAAGCAGATAGAAGATGGGTATATGGGGATCTGCTTATAACATAGCCAAAGCCATATTCTATCTACTTAAGGGCGACTATAGGCTTTAGGGCGTCTAGCTACGGATGCCCCGGATGACATCCTTGACCAGGGAGGAGTCTGAGGTGAGCATTGTAACAGCCTGCTGAATCTGATACCCTCAAAACCAGGTCATTATTACTGTTGTTTATAATGTTTCTACTACTCTTATTACTATTGACACTTTTACAACTACTATTATTACAGCTGTTTATGATATTTCTACTAGTCTTATTACTATGACTATGATACTACTAGTACTATTATCACTATCTTTGCCGTTGGTACTATGACTGCTACTATTATTCCCTGTCAACTCAAAAGATGCGAGGCTAGGAAGTGCTGCTCCAGGGGGTCAGCTTGTTGGTCGGTAGGAAATGGAGGAATGCCCAAGGAACTTAATTTAAGTACTATATTGGGGAAACCCATTAGGGAGACTTAGTGTAAGTTCCTTAACAGCAACCCCGTATGTGTTAGGTGGACCCCCCACCCAGTAATAGTGGCTATCAGGGATACTAAGGATTATGTTCGGGTCCTCTGACATTCCTACTATACCACTATTACAGGGTGGGAGGTCCTCCAAAACTGTATGAGCCATAGTCTAAACTCCTGGTATCCCCTTTCATAACCCCTCTACTACTCCTTATATACATAAATATTTCCCGTGTGATCCCTATATGAGCCATAGTCTAGCCTCCCAGCATTGCCATGAATAACCCCAAAAACTCCCCCATCTAATCCCTTATGTAACACACCTTTAAGTAGGTTAGACTATAGATCATATTGCCTGCGATAAGCAAGATCCTGGGCCCATCTGGATCCCATCATATGAGCCTGAACTCCTCAAAGGGGTTATATAGGGAACTACTATACTAGAAGGGGTTATCAAGGGGGATACTAGGAGTTTAGACTACACCTGATATTGCAGCCTCCAACCGGGAAGCCTCGATCAAGTGAGCTCCAATGCCCTATGACATTGCAAACTGGGGTCCCTCGAGGGTACACTAAATTTGTTCGCCTGAAGCTCAGAGCTCGTAAGGCCAAGCAAACCATGTTCAAAAAGCGTTTGACAAGAAAGGAGGGACTTGAGGGGAGATCGAACAGTAGCAATAAAACTGAGAGTACTAATAGGCATAATGATAAGAGAACTACTCGTATTAATAGGAATACTAGAAATACTGACAATAAACATGACAGAACAAATAGTACTAGTAGGAATAATAATAGGACTAGAAATAATAGAAAAAAATGAATAATCATAATAATAGACCTCATCATATTAATAGGAATAATAGTAGTAACAATAATTTGGGATTCCTAAACCCTAAACCCTAACCCCTAAATCCTAAATCCTAAACCTTTGGTGGGTATTACTTTGAGCAGCTCTCAACAGGCCCCGCCTTGCCACCTTTTCCATCCCCTCTGTGGTAGCCTCTGCATTTATTACTTGTGGCTAGTCGGGAAGAGGGGGATGTAGGGTTTATAGGGCTTATAGGGTTTGGGAGTATTGTATAGAGATCATATTCCCTTAGTATGGCCTACCTTACTAAACCACTAGTGACCAGTAAGTTTGGCATAGTTTGGCAGCCTTGGGGAGTTGATGTTCAAGCTGGGTGAAGAAGAACATAAACCTGGATACTAAGTCTGTGACACTGAGTGCACCAAGGTCCCGCACAAATTCAAAATTGTACTGCCCTTTCAATCGTTGTCTTTTCCATCTGATTCTCCATGGTTTGGGAAATATTCCAAACCCTAACCAAAGCAGTTGCCATGCCCGTCGGGGCTTGAGCCATGCGTTCAGGTAGGCATGCATGGAGTGCTGAAATTGTGTGCAGGGCATGAACATTACATTGCCAGGGTTTCTTGCGGCATGCCGAGCTTGTGAACCCTGGCACCAAAATCAGCGCGAACTACCTATATCATTTCTAACCCTGTCAGCATAGATCTATTGGATGCTTGCACAACCATCAGTAAGAATGGCTGGCCTCCATTGTTGCTACCGTAACCGCCACCGTAGCCACCGCCACCGTAGCCACCGCCACCGCCGCCGTAGCCGCCACCTGGAGTCAAGGCCGCACAAGCTGAGGTGTGCTTCTTTTGGGCTCCTCTTGGGCACTTGGGCTCATCTTGTGAACTTCCGTATTCTCGGACGGCCGTTGTGTACTGCAGTAAGGCGTTGCTCACATACACCAATTTGATCTGATTCTGCCTCACTTCCTGGTGGAGATGTGCTACAGTCTGACAGGACTGCTTGGGGCTGCCGGCTGGCAATCTAGCAGCTTTGGTGCTGCTGCAGCTCGAAAGCTTGGCCAACAATTTCTGAGTCGCGGGCTGTATCCTCCGCCGTAGCCTAGATCAAGCTCTGGGCAAGGCAGGGTGGCAATGCTTGTGGCTTCTGCATACATTCTGATCAGGCCAAGCTGCCTCCCTGGTGGTAGCTGCTGCTGTAGCTGCCGCCATATCCGCCGCCACCGCCACCGTATCCTCCTTCAAACTTCACAGCTTGGAGGCAAGCGCCCAACGTGTCAAATCAGACAGCTTCAAACAGTAGAGGCCAAGGGAGGTTTCTACATGCCTTCTCACTGCATGTTAACCATCGCAGGCTGCTTCCAATTTGCCGTTCCTC